TCCCTAGATTGAACTGCCTGTCTTCTTGCTGAAAAATTTTGGAGCGGGTGTGTGGGTATGTGCTTATATGTAGAAAGGGCTTAACAGTTCTTTATACTTACTTTCAGCATCTCCCCTGTTTTTAGCTTTTTCTTCTCAGCCCTCAGAGGTATCTGGAACTTCCAATTCCTAGGCTTCTAGGGCTTCTCCAGCAATCTGATTGTTTCTTGTAGGTACTCACCAAAATAGGAATTATGGTTTTTGCTTCCTTTGCTCTGCTAAGTCAGTTACTATGTACATCTGTTTTCCATCATCTAAAAATCTGTAGATATGTCTCATCTGCTGGCCTGTCTCCTGGTTGTGTGTGTATGCTTGTATATTTGTATCTTTTTTTTTAGCTGTATACTGTCATTTTAGTGTGGTTTTAGGAGGGAGCAGAAATTAACTCATGTTCATTCCACTGGGTTTAGAGTTTTAAACTGATAGAAATATAATTCCCTTGATTTCCATGGTACTCACATTAGTAAGGACTGTAGCCATAATAAAACTGTTCTTTTTTTTATGCAAGATGCTGAGTTGAATTTTAGTTTCATATATATATATAGAGAGAGACAGAGAGAGAGTTATATATGTGTATATGGAGGGAGACAGTGAGAGAGAGAGAGAGAGAATATAAATTTAGGCAATTGGGTGAACATTTAGGTAGATGGGAACAATGACTGATATGTCATTGAGTAAGAAGGTACTTGCTAGGAAAAGTTCAGCCCGTATATTATATTTTTTTCCTATACTGTTTCAAGGATTAGTTCAGTACACAAACTTTCAAGCCTTTTTTAGTTGAACTAGATTAAAAACACTCAATAAAAATGAATTTGTTGAATATGTATCAGATTTAGAGTTTACTTAATATCTTAGTTTGTCTGTCTTTAGACTGAGGACACATGCTTGGCACACATAAATTTCAGTAAGGATTGGGTGATTAGAGGAAACTTTAAACTTACGTACATTCTGTTAAATACTTTTAAGGTAAAATATTTCATTCGCAGGGCATAAACAGAGTGGTATTTACACTAGGGTGAAGATGTACAAGTTAGGGATTTATGTATATGAGTTTTGGGGAAAGATAAACAAAAATGGAGATCCTGAATAAGATAGTGGCTGTGAGGGCTAAGGAATATCTAAGAAGAATCCAAGGCTCATGTATATACATGGTTGGTTAAATTGCTCAGTATGTTTTAAAGATTGACAAATTCTGCTTTATTCATTAATTCAGAAGGTGTTGTAGGCAGTAGATCTGGAGAGTATTTTCCCAAAGTGTGGTGGTACATTAAAATGATTTGAGGTGGTACACAGATGAATCTTTTCCTTTTAACATTTAATATATATGTTCGTATGCATTAGAAAAATATATAAGAACTGAAAGGCTGATTTCATTGATATTGCTTAGCATAAGGCTAAAATTGGTCTTTTTTTTTTAAGATTTATTTATTTATACAAGCACTGGGTACAGTCAGAAGCGCGGGTGGGTGAGAATTCATCAGAGCCAGAGCTGGGAACAGAACAGGCAGATTGACGAAACACACTGCTGAGGGGAGCAGCGGGTGGCAGGAGAGGTCTGCACGCCATGTGGGACCCTTGCCGGTGGCTGGGGATTGAACCGGTGCTGCAGAGGCTGCGGGCAGCTTCACAACCCAGCGCTCAACCGCTGCACCACCAGGGAGGCCCCTAAAATTGGTCATTTTTTTTTTTTTTGTGACTTGATTTAAAGATGAGTATTACATAGCAATATAGTGGCTGTTTAGATTTTGTAAAAACTTTAAAGTAGGTCTGTGAATACTAAAAATTAAGAAACATCTCTAAAGTAGGTTGAAAATATGTTTTTTTTAATCAAGATGCTTTCAGGTACTTCTTTCTCCTCATAGGTAACAACTGAAAACCATATATGCTGACTGAGTCTATAACTATATAGACTTCTAAGTGTTTTCTTTAAAAAAAAATACTGCTTTATTTGTAAAGTTTATTTTTGTCATTCTTTTCAGATAAATCTGCAGAACATTTTCTCATGTGATTCTTAAAATTATTTTGTACCAGAGATCTGACAGGTAAGAAAAGTGAGTCAGAAAGAGGTTAAAGCGTCCCCAGTCATTCAGCAAGTTAGAAATGGTGCTCCAGGCACTGCCAAATTGCTCAGCCTTGTGTCCAGACTTCTTCCCTCTACAGTGTGTTCTTTTGCTGTTAATGGACTTGCCAATTGAAGTTTTCTTGGAGAACTCAGGAAGCCTGCCAAGTTTTATAGCTAAGGGCTGTCCTGTAGCTTTTAGATATTTATATCTTGAACCTTGAAGGTAGACAGAGTTAGGTCTTCCAAAAATAGTTCAATAAATGTGTCAACATTTTGAAATACTATTGAGAAAACAAGGAAGTAGAAGCCCTATGGGATTATAGGAAAATGGTGCCAAATGCCTTCACAAGTATTTGAAAAGCAAATGTCGTGCTGTAGCCATATGCTAGACAATGGGGCATATTCAGCCATTTTTATTATGACAGTCTTTTATTTTTCCCCAGTACTCTGTTTAATTGCTTTTAGACTTGTAGAAAAGTTGCTAAATGAATTAACTTGAAAAAATTTTTTAAATTCAGTTCTCTTAGGGAGAAAAAAGAGAAAACTTTTTTTTCCTTTAATAAGATGAATCAAAATTGTACATGGGAAAGGTTAGAGTGCCAGCTAATGAGTTGGGGCTGTCCACTGACAAAGGAATCAAGAGTTTATCCATAAGCTTGTAACCAGAACTGCTTTTGGATCTTGGCCATTGAAATCAGCATCAGTAAAGCCTGTGTCTTAATTTCCTTAATGCCAAGATTGTCTGTTTTAAATTACACACATATGGAAACATGAATGTGTTCATCCTCCCCCACCCAAAAACTGAAAAATAAAGGTATGTTGAAGATATTCTTTTGCAGCTCTGCAGTGGAGAGCCATAGATGTGGGCAGCAGATGTAGCACAGATGTGGCTCTAACTTTTCTCCTAATTGAAGCCATTTCACTTTTATCCTCAATGCTCTAAGCTTAAATGCAAAGACTCATGGGTGAGTCCAGAGCACTCTGTTGATCTGTGATCTCTGTGTTACTTGCCCTGTGCAACACACATGATAGCCATGAAGGATCATGTGGTTCTTCTTTAAGGACCTTATTTTTTGTTCTTGTTGTTAGATTATTTTTAACCATGTTTTTACTGTATCTGATTATCTCTTGCAGTGTTTTTTGGTGAAAGAATGTACCATTGTAAGTTACAGAAAAAGTATTAAGTATTTTTCTTTTTAAAACTTTTTATTGTGGTAAATCTTAAATATATTCAGAAGTAGAGAGAACTGTCATAGAAAGAGTCCGTGTTGCCAGCTTTGATAATTACTAGCACACAGCTGGTCTTGTTTCATCTTTATTTCCCTTCCATTCCCTGATTACCCTTACTCTGCCCCAATTATTTTGAGCAACTTCCAGGTACTGTAATTTCATCTGTAAATAAGTGAGATTTTCCTTTTTTGACATGTGCTTTCTAGTCTTTAAAGTTCATGTTCATTATTGATTTTGCAGAATTACAAAAATTCATTTATTTATGACATACGCAATTGAGATAAGTACCTGAATAGTGTTTTGTTCATTGAAAGCAATTTCATCTAGATGAAATATTGGTGAGCATTAAGGAAATGCTTTAGCTATTGCTAGAAAAACCCAACAATTTCTAGACCAAATCTGAATTGATCTTCAAATTCTAGTATATTCTCAAAATTTATAGGATATTAACAATACTTCCTCCATCTTTTTTTTTTATTTAAAGATTTATTTATGCATACAAGAACTGGGGTGCAGGACAGAGGTGTGGGGGGTGAGAGGATTCACTAGAGACAGAGTGGAGGACAGAACAGGTGCATTTACTGAAATTCACTGCTGAGGAGAGCAGGGGGCAAGACAGGAGAGGTCTGCTGTGCCATATGGGTCAGCTCCCTGGCCAGGAATCAAACTCGTGCTGCAGTGGCTGCTATAGCTTCACAGTGCTGAGACTTAACTCCTTGTGCCACCAGAGAGGCCCTCCTCTTTCATCTTTTGCTTAGTGTAATTTAGTGGCAATATGTTGGAATTGGACCAAGTGAAACGTTTTGTTTTTTAGCAGACTACACAGTTATAAAAATCACAGCAGCCTGCTATGTGTATGTTTCTGTCTGGCAATGCAGAGAGAGAGAGTGTGTGCCTCAAAAATTGGTCATATACTAGTTTAGAAATCATATATAGAAAGTTGGCAATAGAGCTGAAGCTGACAATCTCGTAAGAGTGGCAGTGCTTTTTCTAATTAACAGGAAGAATCTCTGTGTTGGAGACAGATTGTTTTATATTTTAATTTGTGTTTTTAACTAAAATTTATAAAGTTTTTTTTGTAAAGACATTACATATTGAATCAAAATATCAATAATAATAAGTAACATTTCTTGAATACTTGATATGTGTCAGACACTGTTTTATAGGCATGTCTACATATTTTTACTCATTTAATCCTCCCAGTAATGCTATATGGTAGGTACTGTTTATTCTAGGTTTCCCTGATTAGAAAACTGAAGCACCAGAAGACTTAAGTTACTCTTTATCACTCAGCTTATTAACAGCAGACTCTTATTTGAATCCAGGACTGGTTCCAGAGCCCATCATCCTGATTCTTCACTATGTTATCTCTAAGAATATGTAAATTCCTTCTTCACACCCTGTTTCTACTTGCATTTAGTTTCCTGCAGATAGCTATTCTGAATATTGTTTTAAGGTGTCATTTGATCACTTGGGGGTGGGTGGGTAAGTTTTCATTTTGAAACTTGAAGCAGTTAATGAGATTCTACTCTGTTTCTTGACTGACTTTAGTTACAAAGAGAAAGGGAAAAGTGGAAGCGTGTAGAAGGTGAGGTGGTAATTGCTGATGTGTTCCTTTACTCCCACTATTGTTAGAAATGGAATCTTGAATCCATCTGGAATGTTGACAAGTCACAAAGGACTGTTGATGCCCAGCTTCAAAGTACCATTGAAGGATCAAGATTTTTATCTTCAGCGAATACCTTGAAGGGCCAGACCTATTTTTGGAACATTGGCCATCATTGGTCTGTCTGAAAAGTGTAGATTTGTGGGAGTTTGTCCTAGTTCCACAGTGACTGGAATTTTAACAAACCAGGTTACCCGATAATATTCCCTTTCCCTTCTCCTCCGCCCCCTCCCCCCCAGCAGTAGGTAGACAGAAATTGTTTTAGCCCCAAGTATCAGTCTCAGTCTCAGTTCATCAGTTATCTGGTAAGTGATGTTGCTCATTGTGTCTGTTCTGTCTTAAGTGGTTCAGATGACCTGGAATAAGTCTTAATGCATAGACAATATTGTCTATGACTCATTGTTTCTGTCTGTGAAGAATATAATTTAAAATGCCCTTATAAGAAAAACATAGACATAGAATTTTTGGCAAAATATTTGATGGAAGTTTTCATGGCATATTTATAGCAACATTGGGGAAAAACTTTAGTAGCAGGATGTCTTTGGTGGTATTTGTTACTGAAATTTTAACCTTGGTTATCTATTTAAAATATTTTGCCAGTGATTTTTATGACAAACAAGGACTAGTGATCTGAGTTATAGATTTCATAGAAGCTTATAAAGAAACTTAGTAAGCTCTATATGGATTGTCTTTTTAGCTTCAAAGATTAGTTGAAATAAACAATATGAAATTGGTTTGAAATAAAATTTAAGTCAGCTTAATGATGAAGTCCTTGAAAGAGCTCTAAAACAGAAGAGCCATGTACTTCTTATGTGAAGTTTTTTTGAAAGTAGATGTCTTTTTATTTCTTAGTACAGGGGACTTTCTTCTGTTTTTATATTTGCACTGAAGTTGCTCTTTTCCAGGTAATAGGTGAGCCTGTTTTCAAATCTGCTGAACTTTTTTTTCATGTATGATTTCTGATATTATTCACCAACCATGTTGTCTTTGAAATAGTCTTTTGGGGCCTCCCTGGTGACACAGTAGTTGAGTGCTGGGCTGCGAAGCTGCCCGCAGCCTCTGCAGCGCTGGTTTGATCCCCGGACGCAGGCAAGGGTCCCACATGGCACGCAGACCTCTCCTGCCGCACCCACTGTGCCCCTCAGCAGTATACTTCGTCAGTCTGCCTGTTTTGCTCCCTGCTCTGGCTCTGGTGGATTTTCTCACCCTCCTGCACTTCTGACTGTACCCAGTATTTGTATAAATAAATAAATCTTAAAAAAAAAAGACATGTTAGAACTCTTTGTTTTACTTCTATTCTTTGTGAACCTCTTTTCATCTCATATCCTTCAGTTTTTCTGTTTCTCAATATTCTGTCCTCAGTCTTTTATTCTTAGCCCTAATTTTGAATCACCCAAGACTTCACTTACCATCATAACCTATTAACTTCATTCTCTCTTGGCTAAGTCTTGCTCTTGAACTCTGAATCATTATATGACTTAGGGCCATCTCTATCAGTATTTCAAAGAAAGTTTTAAAGTATGTGACATGTTTTGTGCAGGACATGACGCTAATGGAGTATACTGCTTTGACCTGGAATATTTTACTCAATTTTTTATTTATTTATTTATTTTTTTTTAATTTTTTTTTTTTTATAGAGGCATGTTTTTATTTATTTATTTATTATATTTGTTTGTTTTGTTTATACATGCACTGGGTACAGTCAGAAGCGCGGGAGGGTGAGAGAATTCACCAGAGCCAGAGTGGGGAGCAGAGCAGGCAGAAGGACCGAAGTACACTGCTGAGGGGAGCAGCGGGCGTCAGGAGAGGTCTGCGCGCCATGTGGGACCCTCCTCTGGTGGCCGGGGAGCAGCCGGGGATCGAACCGGCGCCGCAGAGGCCGCGGGCAGCTTCGCAACCCAGCGCTCAACCGCTGCACCACCGGGGAGGCCCTCAATTTTTTAGATACCACATTTTAAGGGAAATGTAGTGTGTGCTAGGTATATATATTTGTTCAGCAAAAGTGAGTGAAAGCTTAGACAAATTGATATATACCATGTCCATGGAAGGATGCCTGGGATGTTGAAGTTAGGCGAAATTATAGCACAGGAGGAAGTAGCTGTTGAAATAACGGAAGGGCCAAGACTTGCTGGGATGGGCAGCCTCTTAAGAGTCATCTTCTGAGCACTGACTTTAACTTTCTTAGGACAAAACCCATTGTAAGAAATAGATTTTGTATCTTTATTTCACCCCTCATTGAATATGGAAGCCCGTGTGTATGTATGCATGTATACATATATATGATAAGTTTCATATATTAGTTCTTACTTTTACTATGTGCAGTATGCTCTATTTTTTCCTAAATAATAATAATGATGGTAATAATAAATGCCAGTGCACAATTCACTTGATTTCACAGCATCAATGGACTGTAATCTGTTTGAAATATATTTTTTCTGTGGGCAAAACTTAAGATTTAGAGAAGGAAAGTTTCCTATCTGGTATGAAAACTTAATAATATTTGGATCAGACAGAGAGTAGAATGGGCTGTGTTGAAAAGGAGTGACTGGACCTCCCCTGGTGGTGCAGGCGGTTGAGCACAGTGCTGTGAAGCTGTCCTCAGCCTCTGCAGCACATGTTTGATCCCAGCCGACAGCAAGGGTCCCACAAGGCGCAGCAGACCTCTCCTGTCCTGCCCGCTGCTCCCCTCAGCAGTGTATTTCATCAGTCTGCCTGTTCTGTTCCCCACTCTCTCTCTGGTGAATCCTCTCACCCTCCTGCGCATCTGGCCTGTACCCCGGTTCTTGTATCAATAAATAAATAAATAAATAAATAAATAAATAAATAAATAAATCTTTAAAAAAAAAGAACAAGAAAAGGATTGACTTCCCTAGTGTTTGAAGGACCCAAGCTAGAGGCTGATAGTCACTTCTTGGGAGGTGATTACATAGGAGAGGGGTTTTGTGACTACATTCAGAGAAATATTCTGAATTTACCATTATTCTTTATTGTACTTTTTTAAGCCATAAATATTTCACTATTTTTTAGGCAAAACTCTTTCAACTAAAAACTTTTTAAGCTTCTTACTATTTTTTTTTTTTTACAAAAAACTTGATTTGGAAAGTTTTAAATATATACAAAGTGAATTGAATAAAACCCCTTCTCCACCGATACATTCCCAACACTCAGCCATGACAGTTAACTCATGACTAGCTTTGTTTTACCTCCATCACTACTCCTTCCACTCTGATCTTAATATTTGAAAGCAAATCCCAGCCATTTTATCATTCCATATGCATATATTTCACTTATATATCTGAAAGATCAGACGCTTGGAAAAAGAATCACAATGACCATCATTATTAAACCTTAAAAAATTAACAGCAAACCTTTAATAACATCATTTAATATTCAGTCTGTTCAAATGTCTGTTTACGTTGCTTCTTTCATAGTTTTTTCCTTGAGTAGAATCCAAATTGCAATTACTAATTCTTTTTAATCTATAGGTCCTATTTGTTTTTCTCTCTTATGTTTCCTTGTTATGTATATGTTGGAGGCACTGTCCTATATCATTACCACAATTTTTATTTTTCTAATTTCATCCCTTTGGTGTAGCTTATCTTGTTCATCTGCCCTGCAAATTGATAGTTACATACAAAGGGTTTTTTTTTTTTTAATCAGCTCTAGATTCAATTATTAATATTTTTTTTGGCAGGAATATTTCACTGGTTTTCCTTTAAAACCACCTAAAGAGTATAGGGAAAAATATACAAAGCGGATACTAAAGCTAATTGTAAAGGCAATTGGATTACTTACTTAGCTCTTCATTTTCTGAAATCATCTTAAGCCAATTCCTCATAAAAACAGATGGAACCACTTAGAAGTTTGGGAAGATAATAATCCTCTACAAACATCACATCCAAATACAAATTACACAAGACTTTCTAGTCCAGCTTCATTTCTAAAAGAGAAAGGGAGAAAACAGATGCCTTAGTAATTTCTATAGACCACAAACCAAGTTTTCAGTTAAAGTGAGACATTTTACAATGAAATCAGTCTTGATTTTTCTTGCACAATATGGAAACATTTCAGTTTTGCTGGTTAAATTTCCCACTATGTAAGCAAGTGTTGTTAGTGACTCCATCCCAATTCCCTTCCTTGGTAATTGGAAGTAAAAGGGAAAAAGTGGGGAGATGGCACATCAGAAAGCAACCAGTTTATGTGGGGAATGGTGTTTTGCAGTGATCCTCTTGAAATATATTTATAATCTTTTTGCTTTCTACTTTTTACTATGGAAGATTTCAGTGGTACAAATAAATAGAAAAGATAGTATAATGAACAGCCATATCCCCACCACGAGGGTTTTTTCTTGTGGTTTGTAAAAGCTGGATATGGGGTCACACTGTTAGTCACTAGAATCTCCTCTTATTTTTTCACTTGTTCTGAGACTTGTATGGGCCTTGTCTTTTTTTTTTTTTTTTTTTGGTTGCTATTGGTAAATTTTTTTGCCAGATTTTACATTATTTTATTTTAGTCAGTGGTCATTATGCTAGGTAGTAGGCAAAGGAGATTCATGATTAGTTGAAGATGCTGTAATAGCATTCCCTTCTTCTCCTCCTTATTTCTTTAGCTTTTTGTAATGGAATTGTATATGAACAGAGAGATAGAAAGCATAAAATAATGAATCCCCGTTTACCATCTTCCAGGTAGTTATCAACCTATGGACAAGTTTGTCTCACTTATGAATCTCAAACCCCTGTTTCCTGTTCAATTTTTTTTTTTAAGATTTATTTATTTATGCACACAAGAATTGGGGTACAGGCCAGAAGTATGGGAGTAAGAGGATTCACCAGAGACAGAATGGGGAACAGAACAGGTGGATTGAATGAAATACACTGCTGAAGGAAGCAGTGGGCGAGTCAGGAGAGGTCTGCTATGCCATGTGGGTAGCTCCCTGACTGGGAATTGAACTCGTGCTGCAGTGGCTGCGGATAGCTTCATAGGTTGTGTCTTAACCCCTTGCATTCCCAGGGAGGCCCCATCCTGTTGGATTGTTTTAAAGCAAATCCCAGGCATTATATCACATCAATCAAAAATAATTTTTTATATGTCTGTGATGGGTAAGTGCATTTATTTATTTATTTATTTATTGGATTTATTAGTAGTTTTTATTGCCAGTAAATAATAATGGCCAGTTTGCCTTGAATTTCAACTCACTAGCTGGACAGTAGATAGTAAATTTTTCTAGAGATAATTTTTTCTTTATTACTAGAATATAATTTCCCAGCATTTTTGATCTGCCTAAGAAAGGGCATACATACTGATT